GTTCGTAAATGGAGTGACAGGAGAGGAAGGAGTGAAGCTGGGAAGCAACAACACTTTCAAGGACCTTGGAAAGGAAAGGGAGGTTGGAGATGGAGTGCTAGTTTATGAGCAGGGATGGATCCAGGGAAGGTGTTTTAGGATAGGGGTGATGACAGCTGTTTTTAGGGGGATGGGAATGGTACCAGTTGACAGGGAAGATTGACAAGGTCTTAGAGTAAAGGGGTGAGGAGGGGGAGCTGGGAGGTAAGGAGAGGGGTAGGGATGGGGTTGAGGGAGCAGGTGGTGGGCTTCATGCGAGTTACAGTGGTGGTGAGAGAGGAGGGGGAGACAGATTCCAAGTTGTGGAGGGAGGGAATGGGTGGGGGCTAGTTTGCGAGGGAGAGATGGGGAAGGGGTGGTGGTTGGGAGTGCGGAGGTGGCTGAATGGATCCCCTTGATTTTGGCCTCGAGGAAATCCAGCATCTCCTCACAGTTGGAGTTGGAGGAGAGGATGGGCGAGGCGTGAGATGGTGGATGGAGTAGCTTATTGGTAGTGGAGAATAAAAGCCTGGGTTTGTCATTGGCCTCCAAGATTATCTTGGAATAGAAGGACGATTTAGCAGAGGCGAGAGCAGAGCAGTAAGGTTTCATGTGGTCCAGCCATATCTGCTGGTGGATCTTTATCTCCGATTTGAGCCAGGTGCATTGTAGTGTAGAGACTGAGTATTTGTAAGCAAACTTGGCAACCAATTTAGATAGAGCAGGTTCCACAAACAGGCAGGGTGAATGATTAATTAATCTGGAGGATTGTTGGCCACGACACCGGGAGAAAGAAATTCTCTTCTTTTCTCTTTTCAAATTGTGTCTAAGATTTTTATTCTTTCTGTTAAAAGAGCACACACTGTTATGGAATAACAATGCAAAACAATACAGGAGAGATGTATAATTCACTAATACCTCAATACACCTAATCACAACCAATGTTAAAAATCCGCTTCACCAAAGGATTTTAACATGAGTATATTTTGTCCATTCTAAACCAAAATAAACTTTGGACTGTTAAATGCTAAGAGTATCCATGGGGATACAAGCAGATCCTGTGGCAGGAATGATACCAGTTTTGAATGAGCTTCCTGCCATATGATTTTATAGCAGACAGCTGGCTGTCCAGTATATATCTTCATCGTTAGTATTCAACACATCAGTAATACATTTTAACCACAAAATAAAGTCAGAACCAATTAATTCTAGTTAAAGAGCAATTTGCATAAAAATAACCAAACACACAAATCAGGCCTAACTATTTATTTTGGCTTTACAACAACAACAACAAGATTCCATTTATAGAGCGCCTTTCACGTCGGGAGGACGTCCCAAGGCGCTGTACAGTTGGGTCAGGACCCGAGCAGGGGGGAATGGTCAGGGGGAGGGAAGGGAGGGAGCGAGGAGGGGGTAGAGAGTCAAGAGGGGAGCTGAAGGCACGGTCAAAAAGAAAGGTCTTGAGACCGGCCTTGAAGGAGGAAAGGGAGGAGGCAAGGCGAAGGCACTGGGGGATAGAGTCGATGTTTTGAAAAAATATTTATTTTACAAATATTGCAGCAAATACGATATAATTGGCAAATGGATTATTATTATGTTGAACGTCCTGCTGGGAGCAAGTGTGAAGCTTGGTCTTTTGAGATTTATACGTTAATTCTTCTCCCAAATATTGTTATGTTCAATATTTTCTTCCTTCTTTGTTTTGCCCTCAGGAATCTGTGCGTTTAAGAATTTTTGGGTTGCATTAGTCACCGAGAAATGGGAGCCCACAAGTAGTGTAAGTAGCAGCTGAAAGCAGCCCTTTGAAAAATAATTGAAAAAATAGTAATATTTAATCTTTTCAGTGAACATTTGTAAAAGATCAATCAGACAAAGCTTGTGGGATTCCTTACCTGATTTCTTGTTTTAATTCACACAACATACACTTATATACTACTTTTCTTGTTGTTAAACCTTGACAGAAATGGAGTGGGAATGAGCAGGATTAGAGATGGAGTGTGGGTGGGGGGGGCACTGTTGGAGGTTGATGACGGAAGGCATGGATAAGTGCTGTATTGAATGCTTGCAAATTTCACCTCAGTGAAGCTGAGTGAAAGTAATTAAATAGATTACAAGTTTGAACATGTTGAACATAACTTTAGGTGTCAATCTGGCTTAATTTGCAGCACCTTTGCCTGTGAGTCATGAAGGACTTTGAGCTCTGTACTGGAGAGTCTTGCATTGCTAGAAGCATTTGAAACCTTTTGATGTAGTTAATTACTAGATGAAATACAAGGATTATTATATTGCTAGCTGTACCCGTTGCAGCTACGCTTGCAACCAAAGGCTCTAATATGGAATGTAGATTGACACACAGACAGACTTTATCTATACTCAGCTGGGAGGACTCCTGTGAGAGGACTTATTTTGGGAGGACTTAGTAGGAGGACTCCTTTTGGGATGACTCCTGTGGGATGACTGCTATCAAAGCTACGTGAATGGAAGGGGTTTACTGTATGATGCAGCAGGTCCTCGATTTATTGCAATGCTTCTGTGTAGATGACATTTACAGTTTTTCCTCATTCGGCCATGATGTACAAGTTTTGAGATGAACCCACACATGAGTATCCAACACAGAACTGTCCATGGGAAAAGCAGGGTGAATTCAAGGAAAGGCCAGGAACCTTTAAGCTCTGCCCCGTGCCTTGTTAATTGACATGGCAAAGCACATTCGAACAGGGATTTGGAGCCTTTTGAACTCAAATAGGCAGTCACTTGCGAGCAATGGGATGTGAGGAATGAATACATCTTTCTCTTTGAACTGACCAGTCAGAATAGGTCAGTCAGACATAGTGCATTCATCCCACACAATGGTTTTACAGTCCTTGATCAATGTGGCTGCAGCTGTACCCTTCTTAATATTGCACATTGGATCCTCTGTATGAGAAAGGTTCAGTGGCACCTTGAAGGCAGAATGGGTTGTTCTGCCGCCTGTAAATAGAGTTGCTGCAATACTAGAGGACCCAACAGCAAGTACAATTTGGCCCCTGGACCAAATGTTGGCCAATATGGGATTGATGAGGTATGTTTTTCTTGTTCCACCAGGTGCATCAAGAAAGATAACACCTCCTTCATTGTGGTAAACTTTGAAAAGAATACTATAACACATTGCAGCTTGATCTTCTGTCATGGTCGATTCTCTCTCCTGGACAAAGTGCTGCATTTCGTCTTGGTTATAGTTGAGTTCCTAGCAAATTTCTCTGGGCAAGATGACAACTTCTGTTCTGTGAGCACAGGGCAGACCATTGCATGGCAATGCCTTTCACCCAATGCCATTAGCTTGTCTTCTAGGTTTATGAGGGCCTGGTTGAAGATGGCACCACTGGAGTCCAACTCAGGTTGTGGATTTGCACTTCGCAGCTGATGGAAACCGTCTTCTGACATGCTTTCTTTGTGGTTATTCCACAGCTATCTTGTATTAGAGAGACCACTGGTGTGTAGCATGATGGCAAACAAATCCTTCAGTCTGACAGTAGACCGTGCCGCAGCTACTTGGCCTCTAGCTCATGACAACCAGAAACAAGTGCCATACATTTGTTGCATAATATGAATGTATCTCTCTGAATGGTGTGTGCTTTCCTCTGTCGCTACGTAATTACAGAATACGATGCATAGCTCATTTTGGGACTTAATTGAAGCATTTTTTTGTATAGCTCATCAATGATAGGAGATTCCCTCCCAAAAATGTGCCCTTGACACTGCTAGATGCAAGACCTTTCCGATGAGGTATAAATCATGTTTCTACATCAATCAGTTATTGTGTGATTGTCAGATACACTGACACACTGACAGACAGATACTTTGTCTTTAGTAGTATAGAAGATAATAAATCAAACAGTTGGAGGTCTGCCTGTGCCACTTATGTTTCACTCTTATATCTCTTAAGTGCTAGTATTGATTTCTAATTCATGCCATTTATGACTCTCCATATATATGCTATGATTCTACTGGACAACAATGTTCCATCTGAATCATTATATTTCTTTCACTTTTTTACAGATGTTGGAATGAAAACACTTTTTTCACACTATGGCAAATCAATCGAATTGTGTTTACAATTAGATCATCCTGCAGCTAGAATGTCAATTTCTCTTCTGACTCAATTTGCATCCGGTTCAGCCCAGAAGATAAGATTTCTTGGAAATAACCCTGGGATTTAGTTGAATTACAAAGATTTCCTATAAGGCAGTTTTATCCAGGAATTTCTTGGGAGAAGTGTTGGGGGTAGTCTTGATCGAGCAAGGATGAAATCAAATGGGACAAAGGCCGTTCTTCATATTACGATCTCATGAGATGTGAACAATACCTTACTGTTTTGGGTCTAATCATTCACCTCAGAAACATTTGTGTAGTTAGAGGGCAGTTTGTATTTCTTCGCAGTGATGTAAGGAAGGTTAACTGCTACCTCCCATAAAATCGGTACCACAATTTAAACATAATAAACTTTTGTACAAACATCTCTTATCACCTGTGAGCTGGCTAAACAATGATTCTCATTCATTCATGGTTTCTATTACTTGTACAGAATTCACATACTGTATCAGAGAAATATAGAAGTGTTGAAGAAACTTTGCTCATGAAATGAAAACAAGCTATTTAAAGGTGAATGAATCAAATCAATTGTCATATGGTGTTTTATCACTGTGACACTTATAAGTCCCATGGATGGTTATGTTGCTAAATTTATATCTGTTGCCAGAAAGACAATCGCTCATGTAAAACAGTATCTATTTAAAAGGGTAATATCTTCTTTGAAAGATGGCAAACTTTCTTTGTTTGAGGAAGGAAAAGTAAAAATTTTAAATTTTTTATTGTTAGCATGATATCCTGATAAAGTGACTCGATGAAGCATTTCAGCATCATTAGGTCACGGGTTTGGCAAGTAAACAGAAAAAGGTATGCAAATCTTTTGTTCATAAAGCACATGCCCATTGACAGACGTGATAGTAGACAAACTAGCACTATTAAGAGTACCAGAACTATTAAGTACCAGCACCAATAAGTACAGAACCTACACCTGCGCAGCAGTATCAGGTACAGGACATCGTTGAGAAATGATGATTGGTATGTTTGAGTACTATACGTATATTAATTGTTTGCTTTTACTTTATTGTTTCCTAATATAAGAGGAGTGAATTCACAAGACAATTCTTTTGGTAGTAGAATTTTGTTTCTTGCATGCAGATGTTAAATTGAAGGTTTAATCTTTAATTGCTGGAGTCTGTGTTCGCATATGGGAACTGCTGGTGCCTTGGTAGAATTTCTCAACGTGTGCGCTCCCACACTGGTTGTCAGACTTCTATCCTGATTAAATCAGCAACAGTTTGCAGTGTTTTTGTCACCTAACATTGCTAGAAAACCAGCATACCCACTGGAAAATAATCCTCGCAAACACATATAAATAAAATGAAATCAATTTGGTGGGATTGCTACATGCCTGAGATTCTGGAAAGGATCTTACAAATGGTCGTTTCATATTTTATTTGGGTTTTTAATTTTTTTTATCAAACGGAGGGTGGATTTTAAAAAATGGTAATTGTTAGGTTAGTTTGGAAAACCTCACTACTCTCCTTTGGTCATATTCAAATTATAGCTTCACTAGATAAAAGCTAGCATTAGAACACAAAGTAACAGTTTTCAGAATCCAGTTGAAAGCAAAATCATTAAAAGCAAAGAGCAAGCCAGATCAAAACAAATATTGTCTTGGGGGCTTTCCAAAATTTAAGATCCCACAAAACTTTGTTGAAATCCTGCAATGGTTTGCAGAGTTTCAACAAGCCCTCGTTGCCCCTAAAGCTTTTACAAACATAATGGCGCTCCATGAAATAAGGCATTGTGCTGAGTGTACGGCTGTTATAATAATAATAATCCTTGCATTTGATATAGCGCCTTATCATGTCTTCGAGATGTTTCAAAGTGCTTCACAGAGTATACTGTAAAGTGAATTGACTGTATATTTTGTGGGCGAAAACCATCTATTCTTTGGAATAGATACGAAGAAGAAAAATAACAACCTGGAAGCCCCATTCAAACACTAACATATAATCACTATTCCCTTCTTGTGAATTGACTATATATTTTGTGGGCAAAATGCACCAGCCAATTGCGCACAGCAGTGTACCACAAACAGTCATGGGTTGAGTGACCAATATTTTATTTTTTGAAGGAATTATTACCTCCGGAAAAGCGATCTGTCAATCGACTAACATCCGAATTCATACTTACTGCTAGGTAAACAGGCGTGTGGAGTAAGGAAACTTGCCCAACATTTCGTTCTGCCGGGAATCGATCCTAGATCTCTCACTTGCGAGGTGAGTGTTTTTTGGGGTTTCAGAAAAATTCCATTCTGTGTTATAAGCGAGGATGCTAAACAGTCAGCACTTCCATTATTCATTTCAATCTTCCCTCTCCCTCTCTTGATGCTTATTCAATTGAGCACTTAACTGGAATTTGCATTTGATCATCGCTAACATCACTAGGTGCGCTGTCATGTGAATAGATTGTGGCCTGCCAGCTCTCACATTATGTACTGCACTACTCGTCCATGCTTTGTGGTTAATTTACTAGTGCTATCTGATGCTGAACTTCAACTCATAGTAGTTTTAAAATGGCCAATAAAAAATGCCAGAGTGCTCCAGAGGAGTTCCCCTCCTTGTACTCCCTTCAATCCTTCTTCTTTCCTTTTTAATGCTCGGTCAATTGAGCATTTGCATTTGATTCCCAGTGGATTTGCTCAGTTTTTCACCCTATACTTGTTGATAAAATGAGTATTGAGTAGGGTGATCCTAGTTCCATTCTGCACAGTTAGCCTTCCTTCCATTCCATGCTATCAGTATACAATGGTGATGTATTGAAGTATAGAATCTAGCAATATGGGGGAAAGAAAAACAGTTGCTGGGAACACTCAGCAGGTCAGGCAGCATCTATGGAGAGAGAAAAGTGAGTTAACTTTTAAGGCCAATCAACTTTTGTCAGAACTGGGGGTAATGGGTACAAATCCACATTCCATCATTTGATAATCTTGAACATTACTGCCCCAATATGCTACAGGAACGTTTACGCCAATCAGCACTTTCCTGTGTATTTTATCTTGTTTTTCTTCTCTTTAGAGTGGGCTATTCACCAAATGCCACTGAAGATATGGCTGACACAACAGCAGGAGAGATAAACTCAATGAACGGTTCAAACGTGACAAATGAACCGAATGATCCCTGCTTCAACCTTGATGAAAAATTGATGAAATATTATCTTCCAGTAATGTACAGTTTTATTTTTTTCATTGGCTTGATTGGGAATATTATCGCAATAACAGTTTATATCTTTAAAATAAGACCCTGGAAGAGCAATACCGTCATCAATTGCAATCTGATTTTGACAGATCTTCTCTATGTATCATCGCTTCCCTTCATCATCTACTCTTACATCAATTCAAATTCCTGGAAACTAGGAGAGTTTATGTGCAAGTTTACCCGACTTATCTTTTACTTGAATCTTTATGGAAGCATCATGTTTCTGATGTGTTTAAGTATATTCAGATTTCTTGTCATCATTTATCCATTGCGTGCATATGAAGTGCAGAAAAAGCCCTGGGCATTTCTAGCTTGTTGCTTGGTGTGGTTGATTACAATTGCCGAAGTTCTTCCTATGATAACCTTCATTACTTTGGAGTCAAAGAGTAACACTTTCACTTGTCTTGACTTTGGAAGCTCCCCCAATCCCGAGCAGCTTTTGGTGTACTCTTGGATTTTGACTGTTTTGGGGTATCTCATACCACTGCTTATTATATTTATATGTTCACTGAAAATAGTCTACACCCTGAAGAAGGGTCCTTATGTGAACCTTGCAAGTAAACTGAGAGCTCGTCGTCTCATTATTGTTATCTTGATCGTCTTCACCATTTGCTTCCTTCCTCTTCATCTTTTCAGACTCCTTCGATTGTACTTCAGGCTGCCGAATGTGACTGAGACATGTTTGACTCATACGGTCAATGCTATATATATCATAACAAGACCCATCGCTGCATTGCATACCTTCTGCAACTTAGCTTTGTATATTATTGATGATAATTTTAAGCAAGCGTTGATCTCTTTGTTTACATGCAAATCACAATCAGAGACCAGGAACTCAAGGGAGCATTTGCACAAATAAGGAAACATGAGATCAGGATTCATGAGCCTGAGAAGTGCCTGTAACAAGCCATAAAATTCATGTTACAAAGCCCTAAGCAGATGAAGAAGAATAACATTATTGCACAGGGTTTCCCTACTTTGTTTGGCAGGAAGGATTTTTTTTGGGTCAGGAAGGAAGAGATAATAATAATAATAATCCTTGCATTTGATACGTCTTCCAGACGTCTCAAAGCGCTTCACAGAATAGACTGCAAAGTGAACTGACTATATATTTGTGGATAAAATGTGATAACCAATTGCGCACAGCTGTGTCCCACAGACAGTCGTGGATTGAAAATGATCATTTTTTTTTGAGGGATTATTATCAGGCGTTTGAAGTAAGGAAACTTGCCCAAGGTTTCACCTTGCCGGGAATCGAACCCACGTCTCTAGCTTGCAAAGTGAGTGCTCTAATCACTTAGCTACAGGATTCCACAAAAGTAAAATATAATAACTATTCCCTTCTCTTTCATGATGCGCTCTCTAGATAATAACCACATGACTTGTAAGAAACTGTCTGGTGTTCCAAACTGCAGTAGTTCAACACTATATTGCAAGAGGGATGGATGTAGAAATACAATCAGATACCACAGGAAATAAAAGATTGCTGGAATTACTGACCCATGATGATACATTATTCAAGATACTTGCAAGGTTCACCGTAACACAACACCGTAAGATGGTGGATTCTTCAAAAGGGAAAAGATGAATAATGCAAAGATTCTATGGAGCGTTCATATCATGCATGAGTGTGTGTAAAAGTAAGACTGTGATTTGATATATTGGCTAATAATGAACACCAGGATTAGTGAAATGGTATCTAGGTTGGAGGTGTGTCAGGAATAACAACCAGAAGTTTATCTTATGAAGTACTGATGCAATCACGGCAGAATGTGGTAACATACATAACCAACATGGAAGAGCTAGAAGAACTCTTAGTGATAGTTGCAACTAATGAGCAGCACCAAAGACAATAATATAATGCAGATAAATTCAATGTTTCTTCATTAGAAATGTATAGCCCAGTTGAAAGGAATACATGGAATTTCCCAATGAATGGGGTTTTATTCATACAATCACTTCATTAATTATCCTGTTTGACCCTCAACTGTCCTTCATACGCCACATCCATGTCATGTCCTGCTCCGTCTTCCCCACCTATACAATATCACACGGCTCTACAACTATCTCACACCGCAGGCTGCCAAGAACCTCATACATGCATTCATAACATCAAGGCTCGACTACACAAACTCTCCGCTTGTTGGCCTCCCTAACTCCACCCTCCAAAGGTTGCAGATCATCCAGAACTCTGCAGCCTGTGTCCTGTCCCACACCAGGCTCCGCGACCCTATCATCCCCATTCTCGCCTGACTCCATTGGCTTCCCATCACACAGAGGATACAGTTCAAGATCCTGGTTCTCACTTTCAAAGCCTTCCATGGCCTTGCTCCCCCCTACCTCTGCAATCTCCTAAGCCTCTACCAACCTGCCTATTCCCTCCGCTCACCCGGCTCTGGCTTGCTTCACATCCTCTAACTTGCCTGCCCCACCATCCCATAGTCCCTCCACCTCGACCCCTCCCTTGCCTCCTTCAAGATCCAACTCAAGACCCTTCTCTTTGACCGTGCCTTCGGTTACCATCCTTACCCCCTGCCCTCCACCCTCCCCGATCCCGAACTCCAGCTCTGGTTCGAAACACTGATGGTCCAGCACCTTGTGACATCCTCCTGATGTGAAAGGCGCTATACAAATGCATTTTGTATTGTATTGTATTGAATTGTACTTGGAATTTGTATTGTATTGGAATGTCTGAACAGATTGCAATCCACCACATACTTGTACAGAGACCTAGAACCAGAGGCCAAGACCTATATTTTCGTTTAATAAACTACTGAAATACAGCTGAAAGTTGGGGCTTGTGACAGTGGTTGGTCAGAACTTTCTATATAGCGTATTTAGTTAGAAGCATGTAAAATTATATTTTTGTGATATTATTTTACAACCAGAGCAAATCTACACTGTTATATGCATTTCCATCTAGCATCGTAGCATACACCTGTTTAGAAATCTCTTGAACTATGGCTTTAAATGATTGCATAAACCTTGCTAAATGCGCTAACTTGGATCTGGTGGAGCTCTTCATTAAGGCAACAAACACAGTTTGATATTTTGTAATGTAATTGTTGTTTATTTTGTATGTGTATATTCTTTTTGTATCAGTTCGCTGAATAAATTTCATGGCTGTTTGTGGGACTTCGCTGTGTGTGAATTGGCTGCCGGTTTCACTTACAATCACTACACTATGCAGTGAATTCTGGGAAGTGATTTGAGATGTCCTCCCAGTGGGAAAGTGTCTTTATCAAATGCAAAGTATTCTTATTATTTTTTAAACCTGCAGCTAGGAATGGAATATTCCTTTATATTGCATTTGTCTTGGACAGTAATGTACTTAAGATATTATAATTTTAGTGTGTTTTTTTTAATCACTTAGATTTTAATTACATATTCTTGTACAGTTTATCACGTCATTTTTTAAACTATGTATATTTCCCGATTGCAAACATGTAGCATATCGTGCATCCTATGTTCATTGTAATCAGAGACATTTTTCCTGGTATCTGAACCCGAGGTAAATTTTCCTATCTCTTTGACACAAAATTATAATTGCACATTGGCATGCTTTACAAATAGTGTTTTTTGAGATCCCTGCTACGCAACCTGCAGTATTAACTACATCGCCCCATGTTATAATCGTGGACTTGTACTGTAACAACTTCTATGATTATCTGAATCTCTCACTGTCTATCAACATCTTCCAGCATTGCGTGAAACCTCTTTGAATTACTGCTTGCTGCAAGCAATATTAATAATAATAACCTGCAATATTAATCTTTGTATTATTTTATGAATCATTTCCGAATTGGTTTTACTAAATGAAAATGACTAAATTTCTTGTTGAAGAAATTTTGTATTGTCAAAGACACATATTACTTTCATTGGAGGGAGGAGAAGCAGAAAATGCTTGTGAAGGGGACTAGACTGGCAACAATATCCTTAACATGGAATAGATAATAGCGGTGAAAAATGTGACAATCCAATCATTTCAATGGGATAATTAATTAAACACTTTTGCTATCACAGCTTTTACACATAACCACAAGACACTGCAGCCCAACAACAGTTAAAAACTGCATTAAACATTTTAATTTGACAATTTTCACTCATAGGAAAAACTCACGACAAGTGTTTAATGAAAACTCATTTCAAGCATTTGACGGGACTGAAGAATAATCAGACATTACCTAGAACAGGGGAACAACAGCAAGGCTTGTTTCCATTTGAATTCTGTATTCTTGACCTATGAACTACAGCAATTCTGCTATCTTGTCTTTGCCCCTGCACCTCATGTTTATCTTTCACTCTTTGCCTAATCTTCAATCTGTTTCATTCTTGAAGGTTGAGATGCGTTATTGTTTAATAAAAACGTAGTTTAAAGTGGATTGTCTCTATCACAAAATTGATTTTCCAACTTTAGAATTTATAATATAAAGATCAGTATACCAAGACATTCTGTACCACATATGCAGAGTCATTTTGGTTGGTTTATATGTGGTGGATTATATCTGATGCCAGTATTATAGCGCAGTGCGCCTTGTGATAATACAATGTTTGGGATCTGTAAAATACCACCCTATGTTACAATGAGGCAAGACAATGCATTTGACTGCTCATGAACCAACTGGCCAGTGTGCAGGAAGTATGGTGGCAATGTACATTCGCAATGGACGGGGTCAACAGTGTAACCATGTTATAATCAGCATTGTGCTATAGTGAAGAATGTTATAGCAGGGCTGCACTGTACTTTGCATTGTTTACATTCTAACAGATGAATACTGTCCCAATTGTTCTTGATAATTATGACATTATATTGGCAAAAGATAGGAACAGACATCACACCTCGCCCCTTTTTCACTTCTGGTCTGCTCCTGGCTCAGTATCGTGTCCTCCTGCCTACAATAATGCCAACCCAGGCCATTACTGCACAAACCAAAACATACAATTCTGAAGATTTGCAAATATACCTTCATAACATATAACATGTTTCATAAACAAGTTGCAATGAATAGCTTTGTGGTTTACTAATAAATCATCCACAAGTGAGTCTTGCTGGTTATTTGCTTACTGTTAAAGCCCACAAATTATGCCCAAATAATGTATATTTTATTGACAACAGAAATAAATAGGTTCATAAACTATTGCACTCAATGGAATAACACAACAATACCAAGTTGAAGGAGTTTATTTTCCTCCTCGTGTAAAATGTGCAGTAATAACTCAATAATAGTGCTAGATCTGCGGATTATGTAATCAGGTCACAGAGAACGTTGTGGTTCAATGGGCAGTAATTTCACCTGAGACTACATTTGCTCTATATATGTAACATTTTACATTGTCCAGAAATTGACACATTGTTGAATTCAGTCTTAACTTTAAATTCGGACATTGGTAGTTATTAAAAGAGCTTACAGAAAACATCCTTCAAAATTAAAGTTGTGTTTAGGAATTTGCCAAATGGTGGACACAATGAAATGCTACACAAATAGAGGTTTTGAATAGTTTGCTTCAAAGTTAGCTGGCAGAGTGATTTACAGCGAGCTGTATAAAAGATACCTTGACATCAACATTTTTTGTTATCAGAATAAAGGTAATAAAAAAGCACTTCAACTCTTCCTACACACTCTCAATTGATATCAACTTGGTATCAGCTTGGCAAATGCTGGTACCAGCCTGGCTCGTCTCTGAGTCAGAAGGATGTCAGTACAAGCCCCATATTTGGAGTGTTTGCTGATACTCTTGTGCAGTTTTGAGGAAGTCCTCACTTTCAAGGCTCTCCATGAAAGTCCTCACTTTCATGGCCTTCCCCCTTTCTGCCCCTTTCACAGTAAGGTGAATTGACTGTATATTATGTGGGCAAAACGCAGCAGTCAATTGCACTCAGCAGAGTCTCACAAACATTCATGGATTGATTGACCCATTTTTTTTCTTGAAGGGATTATTAACCCCAGTAAAGTTATTCACCATTCAACTAACAACCAGGTTCCTACTTACTGCTAGGTAAACAGTGGCATGTGGAGTAAGGAAACTTG